CAGTTCACCTTAAACTCCATGCCATCTATTGGTCCAGTCTTTTTTTTTCTTTTTTTTTTTAAGAGAGATTTTTGTTACAGGGTGCATGCACTCGCCAGAGAGAAAGAAAGCAAGAAATCACCCCCTGGGAGGATGGCTATGCCTCAACCCCTTCTTCTTCATTCTCCTCTTGGGATTTTGGGAACGCATGCACACATACCTGGCATGAGTTTTAAGCCACAACGTCTGGTACTTGAATGGTGGTTGACTATGTGGGAGTCTAGTGATGTAACCATCATACCATCAGCTGGTTCCTCAGTTTGGTTTTATAAACAATCTTTTTTCCTTCAGTTTTTGCTATAGGGTATGTGTGCTTGCCGGAGAAAGACAGACAGACAGACAGAGAGAGAGAGAGAGAGAGAGAGAGACAAAGAGAGGAAGGAGGGGAAAGTGACAGTCATTCCCCAGGGAGGATAGAAAGGTTGCAATCTCTTTTCCATTCTCCTCTGGGGATTTTGGGCGAGCAGGCACATGTACTTGGCATGTTTTCAAGCTGCTAGATCTGGCAAGTGAATTGTACAGTTAATTGATCCAGCTGCCCAACCACTATGCCACTGGTTGGCCCTTAAACAATCTTTTTTTTTTTTTCCTTTTTAAAATGTTTGCTATAGGGTAGGTAGGATCGCCCAAGAGAGAGAGAGGGAGGAAGAGAAAGAGAGATAAGGAAAGTGAGAAATCAACCCCTAAGGGGGTTGTAATCCCGTCTCCTCTTGGGACTTTGGGCATATATGCAACACATACCCAGCATGATTTTCAAACTACTGGGTCTGGGACTTGAACCACTCACTTGGCTAAGTGGGATCTAGTGCCTTAACCACTCCGTCACCTACTGACCCAAACGATCATTTTTAAATGATTTTATTTGAACGAAAAATATACTGAAACAGAATTCAAAGCCTAAGAAGCAGAAAATGCCAGGACCGTAAAGCAGCTGCTCCAGAACCAATACAATGTATAATTTAAATTAAAGCACATACTGTTTTAGAAAGTTCACTTCCAGATTCCATAATGCGCAAACACAAAGGGATAATTTCTGTTGTCAGTAGAAAGTTGATTACTTCTTGCTCATCTGTTTTTACCAGGGCCCCTAGGAAACATAAAATTATTTTAGAGTTAGGGTTTCTGGTTAAAATTAACTTTTTATTGTTCATACAGTGAGTTGCAGAATTTAAATAATTAGCTGGCTTGGAAAGTCTCTAATGACAACACTACCTGAGGAGAGATATAAATAGCACTAACATTCATTTGGGGCATATGAGATAATGGTTACTCCTTAAAATAGAATATAATATATATGACAAATATGTCTGGAAATACCAAACTTTCAAATTATCCTTTCTGTCTCATGGTTTATAATCATAGGAGATAAACACAGGTTGAACATAAAAATAATAACCAGTGCAGCTGTGGGGTGGCACAGGTGGTGGGGTGCTGCTGTGAGATGCTTGAGCCATAGGGAAGACCCTGGGTTTGATTTCTGGGTAGAACAGAATACACTAGGTTCATGTGTGGGCATGCCAAGAATACTGGCTGGATGGAGGGACTGAGGGAAAGATCAAGGTAATAAGATCCTATTTAGACTGCTGTGTCTTTCTGTATTTCACAGGAAAAATAAATATGCAAACTTAAAAACAGAACACTGATCCAACAAAGCAAATTTGTATAATTAATGTTCTTATTTTCTGTTCAGTACCTAAACAAATACTATTATGAAAAAGACTGAAAAAGGAAAGATACAGAAAATAAACCTCCTTGAATGTATTATATTCCACATATTCAAAGATGGTTCTTTCTTTTTTTTTTTGGAGAGGTTTTCCCTATAGGACGCATGCGCTTGTCAGACAGACAGAGAGACAGAGAGACAGAAAGTGAGAAATCACCTCCCAGGGGGGATGGCCACACCGCAATCCCTTCTTCTCCATTCTCCTATTGGGATCTTGGGCATGCACGCACACGTGTCCGGCGTGACTTTATGCCGCCGGGTCCGGGACTCGAACCACGGTTGACTACATGGGAGTCCAGTGACATAGCCATTACGCTAACTGCTGGTCCCCAAAGACGGTTCTTTATTATACAGGAAATCTGAGATCTGAAATAGCTGATATGCTATTTTCTTGAATAAAGAGTATTTTATGCACATTCCCATAATAAATGCATATAGAATATTAACTTGAGCATGAAAAAAAATTCAGTAGGTAAAGTAACAGAAAGTAAAAAAAAAATTTAAACTGCTGCTCTTGTAGTAATAGTTTTTATTTGTTGAATCAAGTTCTTATTCTTTACTATCACTACAATTCCAGTAAATGTTTCTTTTTAAATAATTATTTTATTTAATTTAAGTAATTAATTTATTTTAATTTGACCAGAGAGGGACAGAGTGAGAAAGTGAGAAAGTAAGCTGCTAGGTCCAGGACTCGAACCATGGTTGGTCAAGGGGGAGTCTAACACCCTTAACCATCATGCCACCTGCCAGCTCCTCTAGTAAATTTTCTGTATCTATGCTAAATTTAATCCCAAATCTTGGGCCTCATAGCCTTATTAACATAGCCACTCAGAATGGTCCTTGATAAGAGTCAGCATGCTTCTTTTTTGATACTCAGTGAAAATTAGTAAACAAGAGCTATAAAGACAAGACAAACCATCCAACTTATACCAATTCTATAAATGAGGAGTTCGTGCTTGTAAAATGACCCTAATAACTTACCAATAACGCCAAGGCTGGTGAGCCGAAGATACTCAAAGGGACGTGTTTTGCTGACAGTGTGCAAAAAGGGGTACAAAAAAAGTGGGATGTGTGCTGCGAGAAATGCTGATCTGGAAGAAAAAATAATTACATTCAGAACCAGAGTTGATCTCTTTCTTTTCTCTTCCTGCCCCTTTTTAAAAATTTTTTTTTTTTTTAAATTTTGGTCAAAGGGCACCTGTGCTTTACTGGAGAGAGAGAGAGACAATGAAAGTGAGAAATCACCCCCTGGGTGGTGGCCATGCTGCAATCCATTCTTCATTCTCTCCCTGGGATTTTGGACACACATGCACACACTCCCAACATCAGTTTTAAGCCACTGGATCTGGGCCTTAAACCATGTGGGAGTCTAGCACCTTAACTACTATGACACCTGCTGGACCCGAGTTGATTTCTAAGGATCTTCTTCTTTTTAATTGCCAGGGACCAGGTGTACTTGCCAGAGACAGAGAGAGAAAGAGGGAAAAAATACTCCCAAAGGTGGGATGGGTCATACCACAATTCCTTCTCCATTTCTCCATCCTATTAGGATTTTGGGCACACATACATAGGTTCCTAGAGTGTTTTTTCAAGCTGCCAGTGCCAATATTCAAACTAGTTGGTCAGGTAGGATCCAGCTCCCTTAACCACTGGGCGATGGAGTTGGCTTTCTAAGAACTTTGAACATTTAAATGTTCAGTGGTTCATTTTGTAAGGCCTAAGTTGAGACTACATTCTATATAAATCTCCTATCAACTCACCCAAAGCTCTTACCTGGTTTCTGGGTGTGATGCCACACATTGCAATAATGCTAAAGCATTGCAAACTCTGTTAGATTGGTGTGCTGTCAAAGTGGGCGGGTTGATAGATGGATAAATATTTACAATTTCCTTAAAAGAAAAAAAATTAGCATCAGATAAACAAGGTATAGCTAATTATAAAATTAATGTCTCAGTACAAAAGCAAAAAGGCTTAAATGTTCTTAATTCTACATATCCTACAAGAACTGAATTATCAAAGCAAGACCAAAACCAAAAAACCCACAAATGCTTATATGACTCATACTACTTAGTGAATTAGTAAGACATTTCTACATGGGTCTCTAGGAAGATTTCTAGGGAGGTGTGATCATCTACACTTCTTTTTTTTTTTTTGAGAGGTTTTTGCTATAGGGCGCATGCGCTCGCCAGAAAGACAGACAGAGACAGAGAGACAGAAAGCAAGAAATCATCCCCCAGGGGGGATGGCCACGCCACAATCCCTTCTCTTCCATTCTCCTATCGGGATCTTGGGCACGCACACACACGTGCCCAGTGTGAGTTTTAAGCCACCGGGTCTGGGACATGAACTACAGTCGACTACATGGGAGTCCAGCAACATAGCCATTACGCTAACTGCTGGTCCCGGGACTATGGTGTGTTTTTCAAGCTGCTGGGTCCAGGACTCAAACTGGACAGTTAGCCATGTGAGATATAGCCACCTTAACTACTGCGCCACCTCATGACCTGGAACCCTTATATTTTTATAATCCTTTTTGTCAGTATCTTACTTTAAGTTATGAGACTGCTGGCTAAAAAGTATTCCTCTGTCAACCACAGTGACTAATGAAGTTTCATTGTGATTAGGCTGCAAAAAGGGAGAGACAAGAACATGGGTCTATAAGATGTATAAACAGCAATGAATATACGTTCTCTGTCAAAAAGTGACAATATGTGTGGGCCAGGAGGTGGGATAGTGGTTAAAGCGCTGGACACTCCTACATGATCGACCATGGTTCAAGAACCAGACCTGGTGGCATTCTTTCTCACTTTCCTTCTCTCTCTGTGTGTGTATGTCTCTCTACTCAAATTAAAATAAATGAATAAATAAAATTAAGTAAGTGGGACCAGCAGCTGGCGTTAATGGCTATGTCGCTGAACTTCCATGTAGTTAACTGGGGTTTGAGTGCCAGATCTAGTGGTTTCCATTCACATCGGGGTGCATGTGAGTGCATGTCCAACATTCTGAGAGAATAGAGAAGAGATTGCAGCATGGCTATCCCCTGTGGGGGGTGAATTGTCGCTTTCTGTCCCTCTGTTTCTGTCTTTCTGGCAAGCCCACACACCCTATAGCAAAAACCTCTCAAAAAAGAAAAATTAAATAATTCTTTAAAAAAAAATTTTAAAAGTGACAATATGATAAAAACAAATCCACAGATTTATGTTTAAGAATTATTTAATTTTGGGACCAGCAATTGGTGTAATGGCTGTGTCACTGGATTCCCATGTAGTCAACTATGGTTCGAGTCCTGGACCTGGTGACTTAAACTCACTCCAGGCACATGTCTGTGCGTGCCTAAGATCCCAAGAGGAGAATGGAGAAGGGATTGCGGCGTGGCCATCCCCTGGCGGGGGGGGGTGGTTTCTCATTTTCTGTCTCTCTGTCTCTCTCTTTCTGGCGAGCGCATGCACCCTACAGCAAAAACCGCTCCCCCAAAATTATTTAATTTTGTCATTTTAAAAAAGATTTATTTAATTTTAATTATTATTATTTTTTATTAATTTCATCAGAGAGAGAAAGAAGAAAGTGAGAAAGCAAGCTGCTGATCTGGTACTCAATCCATTGTCAGCCATGTAGGAGAGTCCAACGCCTCAACCACCATGCCACCTGCCAGCCCCTATTACCATTATTTTTTAATTTGGCCAGAGAGAGACAGAGAGAGAAAGAAGGAAAGTGAGAAAACAAGCTGCTAGGTCCAGGATAGGAATCACAGTCAGCTATGTGAGAATATAGGATGTTAATGACCAGGTGACCTGTCGGCCCTGAACCCATTTATTTTATTATAAAACATTTCCTTCTTTCTTTATTACTTTGCCATAGGGTGTGTGCACTTGTGGGCACAGGAAGGAAAAAGAGAGAGAAAGGGAGAAAGCAATCTCTTGGGGGAGGATGGTCAACTGCAATTCCTTCTCCATCATTTTCCTCTAGGGATTTTGGGCATGCATACACATGCACCTAGTGTGTTTTCCAAGTTCCTGAGTCTGGGACTGCATGGTCATGTGGGATCCAGCCACCTTATCTACTGGCTGGTCCATTTTACATAGAAAAATGTTCCCATAACAAATGTTAGTTTCTTGGTTGTATGCAATAAAGATAGAATATAAAATTTTCTTAGCAAATAGGGGACCAGCAGATGGCATTGTGGTTAAAGTGTCTTCATCCCACACGGCTGATTGTGTGGTTTGAGTCCCAGATTCGATCAGCAGCTTGAAAATCACACAATATATGTATGACTTCTCATTTTAAGAAAAAATGAAGGGTGGGGGGCAGCAGGTCGCATGGTGGTTGAGGTGCTGGACTCCCATGTGGCTGACTGCAGTTATGAGTCCAGTGGCTTGCTTTCTCACTTTCCCTCTCTCTCTCTGATCAAATTAAAAAAAAAATTGATAATAAATAAAATTAAGTGAATACTTCTCATTTTTTTTTTGAGAAGTTTTTGCTATAAGGTATGCGCGCTCACCAGAAAGATAGAGACAGAAAGCGAAAAATCAGCCCCCCAGGGGAGATTACCATACCGCAATCCCTTCTCCTCTATCCTCCTCTCGGGATCTTGGGCACACATGTACACGCGCCCAGTGTGAGTTTAAGCCACTGGGTCCAGGACTCAAACTGTGGCCGACTACACATGAGTCCAGCGACATAGCCATTATGCCATCAGCTGGTCCCGAATAATTCTTTAAAAAAAAAAAAAGAAGGAAATGAGGGACCAGCAGATGGTGTAATGATTACTGTGCTGAATTCCTAAGTAGTTGACCACTGTTTGAGTCCTGGACCCAAATGGCTTAAAAATGCTGGGTGCATGCGTGCGCGCGTGTAACCAAAATCCTGAGGGGAGATTGGAGGAGACAGGACTGCGGTATGGTCATCACCTCTGGGGTATGATTTCTTGCTTTCTGTCTCTGTCTCTCTGGCAAGTACACACAACCTATAGCAAAAATCTGTATACGGAAAAAAAAAAAGAAAGAAAAAATGAAACAAACAAAAAACCCCAAACAAATATGAAGAGTTAAACATATTACAACTTTTAGGTAATACTTTAAAGGATGCTCATTCCACTATCCTGGTATTGTACTATATCAACCTGTTATCTGCCAGATCATTCTGGCCTGGAATAAATTTCAGTTTTTTTTTTTTTTTTTTTAAATCAGGTGGCCTTTCTATTTTTTCCTTTTTAAAGAATTTTTTTATTTAACTTTATTTATCCATTTTTTATTTATTTCAATGTGACCAGAGAGAGACAGACAGAGAGAGAAAGCAAGCTGCCAGGTTTGGGATCTGAACTGCGGTTGGCCTATGTGGGAGTCCAGCGCCCTTAACCACCACACCACCTGCTGGCTCCTAGTTATTTACTCTTTAATGCACAAGTGTATCCACCTCTTATCCTATAGCTGTTATATTTTTACCTGAACATTTTCTTTCTCTAGAATATACCTTGCAGTTCACACACCTCACTTTCCACCTTCTTCCCCCATCATATAGATTTATCTTACAATATTCCTAAAGCTGTGCTTCTCAAAGTATAGTTTTTAGACTACCTGTATCATAATCACCTAAGGATGGGGAAGCCCTCGTTAAAATATATTTTAAGGGGACCAGTAGATGGCATAATGGTTAAGTTGCTGGACTCCCATGTAGTGGACCACATTGAGTCCTGGACCCAGCAGATTAAAACTCATGAGGGGTGTGTGTGCACTTACCCAAAATACAGAGAGAAGAATGGAGGATAAGGGATTGTGGCAAGGCCATCCCCTCTGGGGGTTAACTTATTTTCTGTCTCTCTCGTGAGCATATGTGCCCTATAGCAAAAATGTCTCTAAAAATAAATTAAAAAATTTTAGGGCCTACTGCAGACTGACTGAATTGAAACTCTTGAATAAAATGTAAGAATGTGCCGTTTTTAAAAAGAATTATTTTATTTACCTTTATTTATTCATTTATTTATTTTAATTTTATTAGAGAGGGACAGAATGAGAGAAGGAGAGAGAGGAGGGACCAGCAGGGGGCATGGTGGGTTAGGGGACATGGACAGGTTAAGGGCACTGGACTACCACATAGCCGACCATGGTTCGAGTCCCAGACGTGGCAGCTTGCTCTCTCATACTCTCACTCTCTCTCTAACACACTATCACTCTCTGGTCAAATTAAAATAAATAAATGGATAAATAAAGTTAAATAAAAGAATTCTTTAATAAAAAAAATAAAGAGAGAGAGAGAGGGAAAGTGAGAGGGTAAGTCACCAGGTCTGGAACTCAAACCACGGTCGGTCATATGGAATTCCAGTGCCCTTAACCACCAGCCCCCAAGAATGTGCATTTTAACAAACACTTTAGAATTTTTTAACACAGATTCCCCTAAATGCTAATGTTTAAAGAACTGTCCTCCTAAAAGCTTCAAAATCATTTGAAAGAAAGGTAGAGGGATACACAAGTGTGATGAATAGAACTAAACTGCCACTCATTGACATATACCCACCTGTAAAAGTGCTGCAATAGTACCAAATGAATGCCATAGCATGGGTGCAAGGTCAGGAACAGATTCTCGCTTCTTACTTAGCTCCAGCAAAGCATTTTCCCTTGTCTCTGGACTGGACAGCTCGTTGATCCACTGGTAGATCTTTTCTCTGTCCACCTGAGCCAGTGCAGTAGGCACAGGCTACAGGTAAAAACAAGAAAGTAGACAAGTTTATTAGAGAGAGACAAACCAAGCCTTACTCTGCAATAGTGCTTTAGAGGGAATGTGTTTTCTCTAAGAACCATACATATACATACTTTAAGTATGTATACTTGATAAGAACTAATTCAACCTCTTTAAGTTATCAATTAAAATAAAAAACACATACCCCTCAATAATTTCATGTATAGAAATTGATCCTGTAGGGACTGGCAGATGGTGTAATGGTTATGTTGCCAGACTCCAACATAGTAGATTGTGGTTCAAGTCCCAGACCTGGCGCTCACACTGGGTGCATGTGTGGGTGTGCTCAAGATCCTAAGAGAAGAATGGAGGAGGAGAAGGGATTGCTGCATGGCCATCCCCTCTGGGCGGTGATTTCTGGATTCCTATGTCTCTGTCTGTCTGGTGAGCACATGTGCCCTATAGCAAAAATCTCACTCATTCAAAAAAAAAAAAAAAAGGGAACCAGCAGTTAGCGTAATGGCTATGTCGCTGGACTCCCGCGTAGTCGACCGCGGTTCGTGTCCCGGACCCGGTGGCTTAAAACTCACGCCGGGCGCGTGTGCGTGTGTGCCCAAGATCCCGAGAGGAGAATGGAGGAGAAGGGATCGCGGCGTGACCATCCCCCCGGGGGGTGATTTCTCGCTTTCTGTCTCTATGTCTCTGTCTGTCTGGCGAGCGCACGCGCCCTACAGTGAAAATCTCTCCAAAAAAAAAAAAAAAGACAGTTCTACGTGTATGGATACTAAACAAAAACAAAAGGATACAGAACAGCATATATGCTTCCACTAATATATACATATATATTATTTTTTAAAAAAAGTTTAAATAAGATAATTATTTAATTTTATTATTATTTTTTTAAATTTTACCAGAGACAGACAGGGAGAGAGGGAAAGGGAAGGTGAGAAAACAAGCCACTGGATTTGGGACTTGAAATGTGGTAGACCATGTGGGAGTTGAGCACCCTTACCACCATACCACCTGCTGGCCCCTACATATGTATTTTAATCTATTCTCAGGGAACATTTCTAGAAGTGAAGTGCACAAGAAACTATTATCAGTAGTTACCTCTAAGGTTGGGGATCTATAATACTTAAGACTTTTCACTATATGCAATAAAACCTTTTGAGGACCAACAGATGGTATAAAGTTTGAGTTGCTGGACTCCCACTTTGTCGACTGTGGTTTGAGTCTCAGACCTAGTAGCTTAAAACTCGTGCTAGGTGTGTGCGTGTGCATGTTCAAAATCCTGAGAGGAGAATGGAGAAGGGACTACAGCATGGCCATCCCCTCTGGGGGGGTGATTTCTTGCTTTCTGTCTGTCTCTCCTGCCAGTTCACAAGCCCTCTAGCAAAAATCTGTCAAATAAATAAATGAATAAATAAAACCTGTGTAAACTTAAAAAATATTGCCAGAAGGTATGTGCACTTGATGGAGAGAGACAGAGGGAGGATAAAGTATCCTTCTCTGCCATGCGAGATGGTTACATTGCAATCCCTTCCTCCATTCTCCCTCTGGATATGTGCACACATGCGCCAGGCATGTTTCTTATACAGCTGGGCCCAGGACATAAAATGCATAGATGACTGAGTGAGATCCAGTTGCCCAAATTGTCAAGCCATGGGCTGCACTTTAAACTTGTTTTTTTTTTTTTTTTAAATACAGTATATGCCTGTAATGTGGGCTAGCTGGTGGTGTGGTGGTTAAGGCAGCTGGACCCCACATGGCTGACTGTATAGTTTGGGTCCTGGACCCGGTGGCTTGAAAACATATCAGGTATATATATGCATGTGTGTCCAAAATCCTGAGAGGAGGATGAAGGAGAAGGGAATGCAATGTGGTCACCCCCCCGGGGGTATATTTTCTCTTTCGCTCTGTCTCTCTTGCGAGAAGCTGTCTCCCTCTGTCTCTCTTGTGAGCAGATGTCACCTATAGTTAAATAAATAAATAAAACTATACACCTGTGATCCTTTTTGAGAAAGGGACCACTCATTACCAGTCTGTCACTAATAATTCTGACATACTTCTCCATGTAGCAGGAAATCTATTAAAATTTGGAAAAGTTCTCCCTTCTCATGATTTTTATACACATTCTACCTCCATCATTTGAAAACCATTCTTTACTTATTTATGTAGGGATTATACAAACAGATTTATAGACTATGCTTTCATGGGGCCAACAGATAGTGTAATGGTTATGTTGCTGGACTCCCATGTAGTCTACCACAATTCAAGTCCCGGACCTGGCAGCTTAAAACTCACGCCAGGCACGTGTGTGTACATACAAATGATCCTAAGAGAACAGAGAAGGGATTGTGGCATGGTCATCCTCCGAGGGATGATTTCTCGCTTTCTGTCTCTCTGGCTAGCACATGTACCTTAAAGCAAAAATCTCTCTCTCTCTCTCTCTCAAAAAGATAAATTCATTATTGTGCTGAAAAATCACAATGTTCCCCCCAAATTTGAACTTTTCTATTAATTTTTTTTTTTTGAGAGGTTTTCGCTAGAGGGCGCGTGCGCTTGCCAGACAGAGAGAGAGAGACAGAGAGATAGAAAGCGAGAAATCATCCCCCAGGGGGGATGATGGACACCACACAATCCCTTCTCCTCCATTCTCCTCCTGGGATCTTGGCCACACACGCACATGCACCAGGCGTGAGTTTTAAGCCACCGGGTCTGGGACGCGAACTGCGGTCAACTACGTGGGAGTCCAGCGACATAGCCATTAGGCTAACTGCTGGTTCCCTCTATTAATTCTTCATACCTGTGAAATAGCATTGTGATCTAAGTTTAGTTGCTTAATTATTCTTTTTTAGTTTTAGCCACAGGGTATATGCACTTGCCAGAGAGTGAGTGAGGGGGATGGCTATGCTGCAATCCCTTCTCCTCCAGTCTCCTCTTGGGATTTTGGGCACACATGCACACACACCCAGCATGATTTTCAACCACTGGGTCTGGGATTTGAACCACTCACTTGGCAATGTAAGATTCAGTGTCTTAACCTCCATGCCACCAGCTGGTCCCCTTAATTATTCTTACCTGAAAATTAAATGGCAGACTAGAAAAATTATTACAACTGCAACGTCTAATCTCCAAACTTTGAGAAATAAAAAGGTGGGTACATTAAAAAAAAAAAAAAAGGTATCTACACTTGCAGATGAGATCACTAATGCTCAGAGGAATTAACTTGGTTGATTGACTCAGCTACGAAGTTGCATATTCCAATGCTTTTTTAACTGTATCACTTCCTATACTGTAGTGTGATTAAACAACCATAGCACAGATGGAAAGACAAGGAACAAAAGACCACCTTGGAAGAGCAGAATGAAGTACAAAATGGACTTATTTAAAAAATTATTTCATTTAACTTTATTTATTTTTAATTTAATTTGACAGAGAGAGACAGTGGGGGGAGGGTAGCAAGAAATCAAGCTGCTAGGTCCAGGACTTGAACCACTGTCAGCCACGTGGGAGTCCAGCACCTTTAACCATCATGCCACTTGCTGGTCCCCAAGATGGACTTTGAGGTGAACTAAAATTTACTCTACTCAACCAGAATAATGGCCTTCTACAAATGGAAGTTCAATTATAAGCTTTTAGCTTGATGTTTATCATTTCACTTGCTTGATAAAAGGAACCACAAGGTGTTCTGCTAAATGGACTAAAATATAATGCAGCTTAAGTCTTCTTTAAGTGTCTTACAGTGCTGTTCTGTAACTTCCACTGGTGACGCTCCTCAATGAATCATAGACTCCTAAAGCAACGATACGATAGAAGAAATAAGGTACCCTTTCCCCTCCTCCCAATCTCAAATGCAGTATTGTCCAAGCATTTGCCCTTTCTATGCTACAACAGATAGGCCCTCAACTTTAAAACTATTTTTGGAAATGCAATTCTTACCAGATGATAATGTGTTTATTTAGAGTATTACATCACCTGAAAAACTCAGTGGAAATATTGGCTAAAATTTTAGCTTTAGGTTCCTTGCCCACAGTCTCTTGGATGATTCTACCATTCAGTAACTAAAGGAAGACTTATAGACACTTTCCCAGCAAAATAATATCTACCCTGGTTATTAGTCAGTACCCATTCCAGCTGACCCTCCACAAAGTCTTATCAGACACCACTAGCATTAAACACCATCAATCCTACCAGAGTCAGTCTGTGACTTGTACTTGGTTACTCCAAACCTCATCCTGTCCTGGTACCCACTAGTTAGCTCCTGAACACTAAGCCTCATTCCCAACATATTCGCTTTTTGGAGGTGATGCCAGTAGGAGAGGGTGCCCTGGCACTTGTGCTGGCATTCTCAAAGGCTGATCCCTGATGCCCACTTGGATTCTAAGGCTATGGCTACCTGCTGCCAGCAATACTTCAACTTGTGAATGTTTTTGTGAGAACTGAAGCCTCTACTGGCCATGTCAGATGGGTGGCAATGTGATCCTCCTACACACTAGTTTGATGTTATCTATGCATTTTATAGCCATTCCACCAAGAGGTAGGCAGTTTGGAACCTGGAAATGTCTGTGGCTGAGACTCTCCTTTTCATCATCCCTACTGAATTTCATTTCCTATTTATTATTAGTTAGTTAAATCAACTGAATACCCACCTATCATGGGATGAATACCAATTTTTTTTTTTTTTTGAGAGGTCTTTGCTATAGGGCACATGTGCTTGCCAGAAAGACAGAGACAGACAGAAAGTGAGAAATCACCCTCCAGGTGGGATGGCCACACCGCAATCTCTTCTCTATTCTCCTCTCAGGATCTTGGGCACACATGCACATACGCCTGGCATGAGTTTAAGCCACCAGGTCTAGGATTAAAACCCAGGTAGACTACACAGGAGTCCAGTGACGTAGCCATTACGCTATCTGCTGGTCCCTGTCATTACATTTTAATGTTAATTAAGAACTCATGAGGCCATGAACTTTCTATTTTTTAAAACACAGTTTCATCTAATGATCCCCAAAAAG